TTGCTTAGTATATATATATATATATATATATATATATATATATATATATATATATATATATATATATATATATATATATATATATATATATTAATCACTAGGCGAAAAGCCATAAAGGTATATAAATTAATCAACTCAACACATAACGTAACGTTTCGACTTTATTGTCTTCATCAAATATAATCTTACTTTACAGGCGAACCCAATTTATACCCTCCCAATTTTGCTAATTATGCATAATATGAATATAACTGATTTACCATACAAATAACAATATCCTGTTAACTATAATTAACATTGCTACGCATTCTCTATGTGATCAGTATGGCATTGTGATCAGTATGGCATTTGTATGGTAAATCACTTATATTCATATTATGCATAATTAGCAAAATTGGGAGGGTATAAATTGGGTTCGCCTGTAAAGTAAGATTATATTTGATGAAGACAATAAAGTCGAAACGTTACGTTATGTGTTGAGTTGATTAATATATATATATATATATATATATATATATATATATATATATATATATATATATATATATATATATATATATATATATATATATATATATATATATATATATATATATATGTATATACATATATATATATATATATATATATATATATATATATATATATATATATATATATATATATATATATATATAGCTGTTTTTTCATTAAAACAAGAAAATATATCATGCTACTTTTTTATATATATAAATCTATCACTGAGCCAACTTTCTCTAGAGCCCAACATTTATATATAAATCAATCAATGATACATCAGAGTTCATATAACAATGTGTACACTTGATTTCAACTATTTAAACTGTCCATACCCTAATTATAATAATTCGCTTGATTAACTCTATTGTTCAAACAAAGTCTTTTAAATTCAACCCATGCGGTTCAAACGAATTCAGTTTATATGCCCAAAAACCTTCTCTTTGTGTGGGACATGCAACATATATATATATATATATATATATATATATATATATATATATATATATATATATATATATATATATATATATATATATATATATATATATACATATATATAGTTTTTCGTTTTACCTCAAAGAACCACAACAGTCTGTTTCATATATACATATATATATATATATATATGGGGGGTGTCTTATTTGGATGTGCGGGTGGAATTGGAGTCTGGTAAATTGCAAACGGATGTGTATTCAAAACCGACTGATACACATCAATACTTAGACTTCAAGTCTTGTCATCCTGCACATGTGAAGAAGGCAATCCCCTATGGTCAGGCGCTAAGATTAAAACGGATTTGTAGTTCGGAAAAAGTTTTTCAGGATAGGCTTAAAGAAATGGAAGGTCATTTTATAAAGCGAGGATTTAACAAAAAGTTGGTTAAGGACCAGTTTTCTGAGGTTAAAGTTAAGGATAGGGCTGAAATGTTACGCCAAACGGATAAGAGGAAGAATTCTAACTTGAGTAATAGAGTACCACTGGTAGTAGAATTTCATCCGGCATTAAAGGAAATTAATGGAATTGTGGAAACACTTTGGCCGATTCTGGAGACATCGGAGAGGATGAGGGATGTCTTCGGTAGTAGGCCGATTGTTTCATATAAGAGACCAAAAAATTTAAAAGATAGTTTGGTTAGATCTAAGGTTAAAAAGGCTAGGGAGGTAAGTGTAGGGATGAGTAAGTGTAATAAGAATCGTTGCCAGATTTGTAATTATGTAGATGAGGGAAAAGAATTTCTCGAGGGAAAAGTAAAATACTACATTAATTACAACTTTGATTGCGATTCGGCTGGGGTGATTTATTTGATTTATTGTAGAAAATGTGGGAAAAAGTATGTGGGGAGTACAATTACTAGTTTTTATATATCTATATATATATATATATATATATATATATATATATATATATATATATATATATATATATATATATATATATATATATATATATATAATAATAATAATAATAATAATAATAATAATAATAAATATATTTTGCCCTTTTTGAAAAAAATACAGTTATCAAAAATTAGTTCTTAAATAATAAATAGAATAATTAATATATATAGTTAACACACTGTTTAACGGGTATTGGGCCTGGTAACTAAATTAACCGTGAGGTTTTCTAGTTAGTTACCAGCCTATTGATTTTAAATTTTAATTAGAGATGAAAGATAATTTGTTTGACAGAGCCAAATAAAATGAGATTAAAGCGCATATTAATTAACATAGCTCTAATTTGTCTCAAATTGTTTTTTTAATAAATATTTTTTTACCAATTTTGAAAAACAAAAAACATTTAGGTGTTTAAGTTGTTTGGGAAGTTCTTTCCAGAGGTCAATAAATGCAAAGGAAGTCATTTGTTTACCATAGTTTGTTCTAACACGTTTTTTGTGTAAGTTTTGCTTAGATGAATATCTGGTATTGTAGGTATGTACGTCACTAGTATATTGAAATAAACTGTCAAATATGCGTGGCAGTTGGCCTTTGTGCCAAGATGAGTGAATTTTAAAGCACTGAGTCGATAAAGGTTATCAACACTGAGAATTTCTAACATATTTAAATATGGAAGAGCACTCTTTGTGAGTGGTCCGTGTGTTGTAGCAAAGAACATAATCCTCATAACTTGATTTTGCTTTGTTTGTAACTTTTTTAAGTTAACCTTATAAGTACTTCCCCAAGCGGTAATGGCGTAAGAAATATGAGGGTATATGATATTATAATAGAGTTGTTTGAGCTGAGTAATTGATAAGTAATGTCTTAACTTTGAGAAGATACCAATACCACGAGATACACGAGAACAAATATATGGGATATGGTATTTCCAAGATATGGTATCATCAATCATAACCCCTAAATATTTTATATGATCTTTTCTTTCTAGAGGAACTCAAGAACCATCTGCGTTTTGTATCTTTATGTCAATTTGCATGTCCTTTTTCCTAGCTGACTTAATAATCATAAAATTTGTCTTAGAGAAATTTATTGACAATTTATTTGAATTACACCATTCTTTAACCTTGGAAATCTCAGTGTTCATTAAAGTTTCTAGTTCCTGAATATTTCTAGATGAGGCAAATATGTTAGTGTCATCTGAAAACAATCTAAACTTTAATTTGTTAGAGCAGTTTGGCAAGTCATTAATATATATTAGGAACAACAATGGTCCAAGTGTACTTCCCTGAGGAATCCCACATGTCATTGTTTGTTTAGATGACTGAAAACCCCCTAAAGCCACATACTGTTGTCTATCAGTTAAATAACTTGTAAACCACTGAAGTGGTAGTCCTCTGATACCGTAAGCTGCTAATTTATTTTAATAATATTTTATGGTTTATAGTGTCGAAAGCTTTAGAGAAGTCAAGGAATACACCGCATGTATAGAAATTATCATCGATTGCTTGTTTAAGACTGTCTACAATTTCAGTTATAGCATGAGAGGTGGAATGATTTTTCCGAAAACCAAACTGAAACTCGAACAAAATGTTGTAATTTTCAATATAATTAATGAGTTGTTTATATACTAGTTTTTCAAATA